CGTGCCCTTGTACCGTCACAATTTACCCGTACGTCTTACAACACGTTGGCAAAATGCGTCCCTTTTACATTATTCCGTTGGTCTTCCCTGCTTTGGGATTGGCAAACAGGTCAGAAGACAATTTCGCGGTAAATATGCATATTCACTACACTCATATTGGCTCCTATGTTAATAGCTGGTATTCAAGGCCGTGCTTTTCGGTAATGATTACGAATTCGATGTTGAAAGAGGACCATGTGTCAACCTGAAGAGAGGCCAGTACGTGATTCCGAAGTGCCCCTCAGGAATGCTACAAAACGAAAAAACGTCGCTGATACTGTAAACCCCAGGCCGACTTTTCACGAGATCAAGGTCACCGGGCACGATGTGTGCACCGTTTATGCGTGCGTATATATCTTGCCTCTTGGTTGATATGCTTCAATGCTAATAAAAACCACTTCAGAAATCTCAAATGCGATACTAAAGTTAGAGAGTTTCGAGCGGGTGTTCACGAGATTACGAATGTTGTGTTCAAGTCTATCAAATGCACCGTGTCAGAAGAGCTATAAATTGAACATCTAATGCCAGATAGAGAAGCCCAGGATGGTTCAAGGAAAAGATTTAACCAACTTTTTGACTCTAGAACCTACAAAGGCGAGGAATATACAACGTTATACCAACTTCGGCTGACTGGCCTGGATCTTTAGCGAGTGCTGTGGCAAGAGACTTCATGTGACAAGGGTTGAACTAGAAGGCCTGGAGCAAAAGGCTTCAATTCAATAATAATCTCAAGGCTGTCAGAGGTCCTTGGTTTTCTAAGAGGAAGAGAGTGATGAGTGACCACGATATATACATGAAGAAAGCGTCTGTGCCTAGGGCTTCTGGCCGGTCATGTGTTCAATCTATGTAATCAACAGGTCCTTTATCGGTGAAGCCCCTTTGTTGGGCTTCAAGGATGTTGGGCCTTTTCCGTGTAACACTCCAGAACAAGATCCGCTCCCGCCCGGGCAAATTTGTTCAAGTAGTAATTGGATATGGTTTTCAGCTCTTTTACTTTCAATTCAGATTTAGTCCGTGAGCTATGCCATGTTCCGGCTCAGTTGCGTTCGGGGATTGACACCACGCTGTATCCTGCAGATTCTGCCAGCCACATTTGGCGACAATTTCAGGGCTACAGATAGCGAGAGAAGAGCCAAAAAGAGCACGCATATAAGCTGGTTATCGCTCAGCTGAGGGCGTCTATCGCTGGACATGTTTGCCCCGCAACTCGGTCGTCGTACTCGCTAGCCTCTCTGACAGTCACAATGGTGTTGTCTACGATAAACCCATTGAACGGCTGTTCTACCTGCTGTGCGCTATGAAGAGAGAGTCAAGGCAGGGAAATTAAGCAAGAAATACCCCTCTCAAAATCTTATCATTCGACCAAGTTGGTAGGGTTTGTGCCGGCAACTCCAAGTACACCTCATGGACGAAACCACAACTACAGCCATGTTCACCGTTGACCTCGTTGTACCTTGACTGATCATATTATTACTTGACACTAGCATTGAGAAGTGCATATGAGTCCCCACCCCCCGTCTATGTATTGCAATGGCACAGTGGTAATTGCGCAATCCACACACAACATTGTTGCGGGCACGGAGTAGTCATACAGCATAAGACATGGTCCAAGTCTGGTCGAAACACAGAGTCGAGGCTTCTAGAGCATGTTAATGGCTGCCCAAATTCATCGTATGTCTCGAGAAGTACATTTCTAGCGAAATTTCCCCTTTATAACTGCATCTGATGGTAGTACAACATGCTGTACTTGGAGATACAACACTCCACATCGCACATAACTCCTGTCGGGTCAATGAGCCGAGCCGTAATATACATTGGATAAAGAAGCGTCGGAGATGAGAAAAGGGTTCAAGCATCAATTTCATGCTACTAGGGAAAGACGAGCGGGTGTAAACACTTCTAAATTCGTAACGGAGCACGCCTTATGAACTGACTTACCGGCCGACGGACGTGAACTGACTACTCCGTACGGAGTAATTGCTCAGATATTCACTGACCCAACTCACACTTGTAATCCGTAGTACGAATCCAAACGGTCCTTCCCGCAGCCCAAGGCATCCACACAAGGGTTTGGGTCACCTCAAAATCCCTCTCCATATCCTGCACGTTATTATGAACCTTTCACCGAAGTAGCACAACATGGATGAGCCATGCCGGCCTAGTTGTCAACCAAAATTTTGCTGACATGAACCCCACTGGGCGTAGATACAACCAACGATAGCTCGAAGCAGGAAATGAATACCGGGGTTCATTGTTGTACCGCATACTAGTAGCTGTAAGACGAATCATCTAAAATTAGATATATGAGAGCTGTCACATCACATCTCGCGGTCTCGACTTGATTCTCCTGCACTGGTCAAGAGCCTCCTTGGTAGGAGCATCGCCGCGTGAGTTGAGGGGAAGACCACAAGAAGAGCATGATAGCCGAAACTAGTCCGAGCACCCATTGCATCGTACTTGTTGACCATTATCTTACCCAATTTAATTTTGCAGAGAACACTCCGAATAGCTGTCGAGACTGAGCAAGCGACGAGTTACATCACTATCCTGCTATTCAAGGACAATCCTCCCTGCTAAAGATTGCATCTCGAAAGCTAGCTAGCGTCATTGGAAGTCGGATTGGATCACAGTCGTTACCAAGAATTTGCCGCTATTGCTTGGAGAATCTCATCTATCCCAAACATGGATCAAGAGGAGCCTGAGCTCTGTGACGTTCTGACTCCAAAGAAGCCAGAGTCGACGCATTTCATGATAAAAGAAGATGATTACGACAAGAAGAGTCGTCTAAAAAGGCGGGCTAGGCGGTGCTTTTTACCTTGGGCCTCTGAGGCCTCATGGTGTCTTGTCGCTTCCCTTCTTCTAGGCTTGCTTGTTTTCGCCCTGAAGCAGTTTGATGGCAAAGCACAACCGAAGTGGCCCCTTGGTCTGTCGTTAAACACTCTGATTGCCTTTCTGTCAACCATCTGCCGATCTATTATGGTCCAACCGATCGCCGAAGGTCTTTTGCAGTTGAAATGGAATTGGTTTGCCGGTAAAGGACGCCCTCTTCGAGATATCCGTCTATTCGACAAGGCAAGTCGTTCATCCTGGGCAAGCATTAAATTGGCCACAAAACTGCGAGGGAGGTGCGTGCCGGCCAAACAACTCAGCCCCAGTTGAAATGCTAACTTGACTAGGTTTATACCTATGGGAGTATTGGCTTCACTTGTCCTTGTAGCCAGTCTGGGGACATCATTTATTACGCAGTCTACCATTTCCTACTCAACGCGGACAGTTGTGGCACATAACAAAAGTGCTGTATCCTTTGCTTCTTTGCAATTTCCTATAGGAGTAAATCCACAACTGAAAAAACCCAGTAGGTTCATGATTGCAGTTTATTAAGTTTTTACCCTCTTTTCTACCTAACCCCCCCGGGGTTGAAGCCCCTTGAAGATATAAAAAGGGAGAGGAGGAGGAATTAGAATAAAAGCAGAAACTAATCAGATCTTTCAAGTCATTTACGCCGAAGATGGCATGCTTCGTGCAGCGGAAAGGTCTCTTGTGTACAGGATTGATGAAGATGAAGAAGGCTCGTCTGCACTCAAGCCGCACTGCCCTACTGCAAACTGTCGGTGGCCGATATTCAGCTCCTTGGCTGTATGTGTGAGTATGGGCAATGTCACAGAGTATCTGACCAAAGTCGACTATTATATGACTCTACCAAAGGAGTTCGGGCGACTCAACGGCGGCCTTAATATTACATCTCCCGCCTACTCAGCTGGTCCAGTGGCATGGGATAATCCCAATGCCACTAAGCCTTTATACAAGTGGGAAAACTCGGATATTGTGCCACTATCACTTGCTCAGGCCTTCTTTCTTTACGAGATCCCCACGAATGAAACCCATGACACGCAGTTTGAGGCCGTGGAAGTTGTATGGCACTACTGCGTCCACACTTACAACATCTCCGTTACAGATAATGTCGCAAATACAGAATTGTTGGCGTCTGAACTGGAAGTAAGCCAGAGGGGTGACAGAAATGAGTCCTTCACGCTACTTGCCACAAACGGGCACCGCGAATTCAGCCTAACTTCCCTCGGTATGATGTATGCTTTTCGGCGTAGACTTTCAACTACAATTGTAGGACATTGGGAATACTTCGTGTCTCCAGAGTCACTTAATTATAATGAATTCACGTATCAAATAGGGCAAAACGTATACAGTGGCTGCGTATCGCCCAATCCTAACAAACCCACGCAATTATGCAGACAAATGATGTGGAGCAACCTCAGGAACGTAACAGAGACTATGGCTCTGGCCATGACAAATTTGTGCGTTGGTTTGGCAATTTACTGCGCTTATGAACAGAAGACTAACCGAAACATACTAGCATGCGAGCTAATCAGGTCAACGGTACTGTCCAAGGAGAGGCTCTGGAGTCGGAAATCTTCATCACCGTACGATGGGCATGGATTTCATTTCTAGCGGCCCAGATTGGCTTGACTATCGTATTCATATGGGCAGTTGCAGCATGTACCTCCAACCTGGAAGTTCCTGTGATCAAGGGTTCGAATGCGGCGGAACTTTTTGCGATTCGCAAGTCGGATATGGAAACGACAACACTCGGCACAGTAAACGGAAAGCAAGCCGGCATTGACCAAAAGATTGACAAGAAGACATTGGGAACCCTGGTTCGAGATTATGATACCTGGCACCTGGAAATTCACTCCAAGGACTAGGCACCAGAGAGTCTCATTACATGCAGTATGTGGCATGGGGGTTGGCTGTTTGCAATTGTCGCGTTTTCAACAGTAATTTACGCAGTGGGATGAGGCATGTCGATTGAGCAAAACGACGATATTGGTGACGTCTGGAGGACTAGAAGGAAAGTATGAAACCTGGGAAATTGACCCTTTTTATACCCTGTTGGAGCCTTTGAAGACCCCTGTGATGATGCTCATCCGAGCCCTTATCTTGAACCGTAGAAAAAGCAAATATCATGACATCTGGACCTTTGTACCTTCAATTATCGCCTGTTTGACTTAAAAGCAATACCCCAACTCCAGGGTCTAGGCAGAAGTGCGTACCTTGCTCTTGGACATTGAATATCTATATACTACTGGATAAAGACGTCGCATTTATTTTCATTCAGGAACTTTGCTAAACTTGCGGTAATGCCCACTTTACCATCTCTTTGAACTTTAAGACGTCTCCTATCTTCGATGGAAACAAAGCATTCGGCGCAGCGAGTCTAAGAATGTGACAAGGGCTAAAGGCTTGGAGTATCATGGCTCAATTCATCTAATAACAAGCAGCCTTTAGTATCCCTTTGGATGTTCGAAGGTGCCCATTTTGTACCGAACAAGGACGTCAAACAATTGAAAATCTTGATATAAGAGTTACATTAATATACCAGGAGATTGTATAGAGATATAAGTACCGCATATCTCCGTGTATGCAAAAAGATACATATATAGTAATTTAACGCACTATACAGGTACCAGCGAGTATCTACCAGGTATCTCAGACAAAATGGACCCGGTACAAAATCGGCACCTTCGAACACCCAAAGCAATAACTGGTTTTAAAGTTGACAAAGCAGCGCAACGCAAATTGCAAACGCCACCGTCGAAAGCGCTCGTTAGGTTCTATGATGACGTCCTACCCCGGATATCCAAGAGGCAATGATCATCTGCGGAGACGCCCACCGGACCTTTTTAGGTGTGTTACGCATGCATTAGCCGTCGCTTTCGCGTTATCATGCGAATGGCCTTCCCCGGATTGCAACATTGCACGACCAGGCCGGCAAAGGTGATTTGCGCACGACGAGAGCAAGTGGAGATGAAGGACGCGCTAGCTTATCTTCTTATCTGGGGGAAGCATCGATTCCTTATCTTCAAACAAGAGCTATCTGTACTCTCAATATACATCAATTGTCGCTACATAATGTTCGTGGACACAAGTACCGAGCAGCCGATGGCGGCAAGTCACTCCCCGAGATCCGAGATTGAAGACCCCGACTCTAGGTTCGCGATAAAGTACCCTCGGCAAGTCTCAATACCGAGATGAGCACTTGTGAGACGCAGTCGAGGTTTTCGTCCGATCAATTCTAGGGTTAGGCTGGCTCAACCTTTTGCCGCACTGTTGGTTATGGCTCATTGAAGAGGATTCTAGCAACTAGCAGACATCCAACGAGAACCACTCAACACTGTATGACAGGCAAAAGATCTCGGCAAGGCTGCGAAGAGTGTCGCCGGCGACGGAGAAAGTGCAATGAGCAGAAACCGCGCTGTGGGCAATGCTCTGCTTTCAACAGGACCTGCAAGTATTCGCTGAGACTCGTTTGGGGCAACGCAAGGAAATACAACAAGGCATGTGGCGACCAGCCTTTGCAGAATAGGAACCAACTCATCCCGAGTAAAGGTAGTGTCAACTCTGTGCCTTTGACGTACTTTGTATTAATCGCCAGCAGAGGATAGCCATGGTCCACGGGCAAATGAGACAAAGCATCTCGCTCGAGAACCCCCTGAACTCTCGAGGGTTTTGCCTCGATCCCTGCCAAATGGCATTCAACTGCCGCCTAAATATCAGAGGCTCCTAAGTTACTTTGTCGACAATGTCCTTGCCTCTCTTTCTTGTCACCCCTTGATACACGAGGATCTTCGTACGGGCCTGGTCCCCATAATGCTCGAGTCACCTCAGCTCATGTCAGCCTGCCTCGCCTTATCTGCCGCAGGCCTCCTATCCCGAGGAACTCTAGAAATGGATGGCGTCCAAGTATTGTCGATTCTAGGCCACTTGCAAACCTCGGGTCTTGCGTTATTGCGAAATGCCCTCGGGACGGGACAGATGGTTGAGACATTGCTAGCCACGTGCCTTGTTTGGTGCCTCACAGATGTCTTTACACATCGCGAGGGCATGTCGTCCTGGCGAGTCCATTTGCAGGGCATCAAGGCTCTTCTAAACACAACAGAAGCTCATGGCGATAGTATCCCCGCACCTGGTTCCATCCAGTCAGCCATGAGGCATCTATACCAACTATATCTGTCGCTTCAGACACTTCCGTACATCCCGAACTTGGAATCAACAGACACACCAGCGCGCTTGGGCACGCAACCCTCCCCAATGTTTCAATGGGCAGCCATAGCCAGCCCCGAAATAGACGGCTTCCTCGGCTACAGCAACGAGCTACTAGATGTCTTGCAACAAATCGACCGGCTGTCACAGCTCGACACTCACGGAGAGGCACAAAGATTCGAGACCGACATGCTTCTCGGCAAGCTCAAAGGAATGATGCTGCGCGACGCCAAAACCCCGCCGCACATCTCGATCGGCATCCCCTTGTCGGCGGAACACGGCCGCGATTTCGCGCTCTGCCACCAAACCTTTCAGCAAGCAACCCTGATTCACCTGTACAGACGACTATACCACCTTCCGTCGGGGTCTCTGCCGATCCAAGCTGCGGTGCGCTCCATGGAGGAAATGGTCAGCAGTATGATTCAGGGACAGCCATGCCACACTTGGGTCGCCATGGCCATGCCGCTCTTCACTCTCGGCTGTGAGGCGTACACTAAGGAGAGGCAGCTCTTTGTATTGGACAAGATCAACAAGCTCGAGGAGTGTATTGGCTCGCTGCACGTCAAGCTCATCAGGCAAGCGTCAAGGGATGTGTGGAAAGTCCGGGAGCGGCTGGGAGATGGTCGAGGCGCCTTGTGCGCGCATCAACTCTTGAGTAAGTACGCGTCTGGCAGTTTCCGACTCGGGCTGACATGGCAATTTAGATGAATTACAGTACAACATTATTCTTTTCTGAAAACTAAAAGACTTCAACCTTTCAATATTGCTTGAATAGAGCTGTCATGCTATATTTGTCCTCTGGCGTGTTGATTTCCAGGTGACTCAGGAACAGTGCTTACGATTCAAATCCAACTCACAAGCCAGTCGTCACCAATTGTTAGCGCACGCCTCACAGCTCGTAGCTCTCTCCGGCACTCATCATGTTGCTCAACGGGCCCTTTTTCACCATGATGCTCATCACCTCATAGAGCACGTCGGCTGCAGCCATGGTAGTATGCTCGGCGTTGGTATCATACGCAGGCTGTTTTCCGCGGCGGTTAGTTACAGTGTCTGCTCCGTTTCTCAAGCACGTCGACTACATACCGCCACTTCCACAATATCAGCCGCAATGAGATTAAGATTCTCAAGACCGCGGAGGATAGTCCTGAGCTCCCTGGTTGACCAGCCCCCTGTTTCGGGGGTACCGGTGGCGGGGGCAAAAGCAGGGTCAAGCGTGTCAATGTCAATAGACAGGTAGACGGGCCTCTGGGTGCCGATTCGACGGACGATCTTGTCAATGATGCCCTGTGTTCCGATGGTGTCAATCTCGCGCGCTTCTACAATCTCGAAGCCGCAGTATCCGTCGTTGTCGTAGTCGCTGGGCCCGCTTAGCGTTGTGCGAATGCCAGCGTGGATGTTGCTGTCGTTGGCGAGCAAGCCCTCTTGGGATGCGTGGTAGAAGTAGGTGCCGTGATTGATGGAGGCGACCTCGGACGGCGATCCGCCAAAGACCTTTGGCTTCCCTGTGCTTATCGTCAGTATGAGCCTCAGACTGGCTGGTGAAGCACCGAGTGGCTTACACGTGTCCAGATGACTGTCGAAGTGAATCACCGAGACGGGCCCATAGGCGCGGTTGATGGATCGTAGAAGAGGCAAGGTGATGGTATGGTCTCCGCCAAGGGTGATGACACGGGGCAAAGTCCTCCCCTTGATTGCCGGGCCTCGTTTATCAGCGTCTGTGGCGGGGGATCGGGACAGGATCTCGAAATGGCCTTCCTCGATCTGCTTGAGGGCCCATGTGTTGTCGTAGCTTGGTCCTGGTCAGCGACATTCCTACATGGATGGCTGGAGACTCACGATGTGACTGGAATATCACCGCAGTCGAGGACGGTGGCCCAGCTGTTGAAGGGATTGGTTTTGAGTGGGACGTTGTAGCCGCCGCTGACATGCTGGTGAGAATTTTCTCCGTGAAGTCATGGCGGGGGTAGAACATACTATAGGTTCAGTCTGCGGGAGCCTTGTCGGATACCGGAAGGTCCAAAGCGCGCACCGGGACGATATGAAGTTCCGGTATCAAATGGGGCCCCTGTCGAATGTCAGTCATATTACAGTGAAGCCAAGTGCTAGTTCCATACCGATGAAAGCAACGTCGTATTTTGCATCACGATTTTTTAGACAAGGTTCGTAGGGAAGCCGCCCAAAAGTTGAGATGCCGGAGAAGACCGAGTCTGCCTACAGTCGGGTTAGTAGTTTGATTTTGGCAGATGACGACGGGCATAGAATCTGCATCACCTGTGTGCCGCCATCCCCAGGCAGCGTGTTGTACCATAAGGACTGATGAGGTCCGGCAAGGCTTTTCTGCTCATGTCCCGCATGGGCGGCGGCAATAGTCACCCAGCCAAAGACCAAGATTGCCGAAGAGACCATTTTGCTTTTTGATTGTGTCTTGCGTTTTGGGTTGAGGAAATCCTAGAGCGTTGGGTTTTCTGCAGCAATCCAATTCTTATCCAAGTGGTTCAAGTCCAGCCCGGAAGCCAGTGAGCACTTTTATATAGGACCTTGTAGTCAAACCTGTTCTTCCAAACATTGCCACGTCGGTTCAAGCTTCGGATATAATTCATCTTATCAACCTCGTGCCATGTTCATAAGCGGCTATTTCACCAGACACGGTTTAGCGGCCCCGCCTCCACACTTGTCGCCCCCACAATTGAAGCCTCCGGTCCGGAAACCTTTATCGTGGCTATATTGCCAAATCGGGCGAAACTCCTTGGATTCCGATTCTGATAAAAGTTCAAACGTTGTGTAATCGTGCTTCACCTATACGCCACAATCAAACCCTTATCGCAACGCGTTTCGCTGGTTGTACATTCAATAGTAAGCAGGACACATGCCTTTCAAAAATTGACTTGTCCAATGTACAATGATACTACAATCTACACAAATATACAGCAAAATCTTGCCAAGTGCCACAGTTGTAATGTAGTATACAACAGCAAAACTCAAAGCCGCCCCGATCGAAACCGCCGTCGCCATCAAGACTTTCACCAAAAGCACAAGCTACAATGGAGACGCCTCAAGCTCACGTTACCGCGTTGCCGCCGGTGCCCGAACCATATGCCAACGAAACGACGCCTTTACTCCCCGAAACCCAGTATACAGCCGTACCTCCTCGACCAGAATACGCCAAATGGCTAGGCGAAACGTGGTTTCTAACAAAGGCATCGATACCCATCATTCTCGCCTACATGCTCCAAAACAGTCTGCAGACAACGTCCATTCTGGTAGCAGGCCGTCTCTCCTCCGAAGCCCTGGCCGTCTCTGCCTTCTCCTACATGTTCGCCATGGCGACAGCGTGGCTCGTCGCCCTCGGCGGCACCAGCGCCCTGGACACGCTGGCCGCCAGCAGCTTCACAGCCTCCAAGGACAAGCGCAATCTCGGGATTCTCTTGCAAAGAGGGCTGTTGGTCTTGACCGCCTTCTACGCCGTCATCGTCCTCTTGTGGTGCTTTTCTGAGCCTCTTTTTAGGATGCTGGGGCAGCCGGAGCACATTTGCACGCAGAGTTCGCGCTTTCTCCGGCTGCTCGCTCCAGGAGGCCTCGGGTACGTCTGGTTCGAGGCGACCAAGAAATTCCTACAGGCGCAGGGAATATATCGCCCTGGAACGTACGCCCTGCTCGTTGCGTCTCCGGTCAATCTCGTCCTTAATTACCTCTTGATTCACAAATTTGGCTTTGGCCTGTACGGCGCTCCCATAGCCACCGGCATATCATACTGGCTTTCTTTTTGCCTTTTGGTAGCCTATGCGGCGTTTGTCAAGGGCAGCGAGTGCTGGGGTGGGATTCAACTCAAGAGGGCTATGGCCAACTCGCTGCCCTTTGCTAAGCTTGCCCTTCTGGGTTTCGTCCACGTCGGAACCGAGTGGTGGGCGTTTGAGATTGTTGCTCTGGCCGCGGGCCGCCTTGGTACGACTTCGCTTGCCGCCCAGTCTGTCGTCATGACTGCCGACCAGATTATCAACACGATCCCGTTTGGTCTGGGCGTGGCAGAGTCGGCACGCTTGGCGAATCTTCTGGGGGCCCGAGACCCCGTGGCGGCCAGGCGGTCTGCCCATTGTGCCGCTGGCCTCTCCGTCTTGTTTGGCTCCGCCATTCTCAGTATTCTGTTGGCAACAAGATATTCGATCGGGGGGCTGTTCAACAGTGACGAGCGCGTCATTGGCCTTGTTGCGCATATTATTCCCTACGTGGCCTTGTTCCAGATCGCGGATGGGTTGAACGGCAGTTGCGGCGGAGCGCTGAGAGGCATGGGACGTCAATGGGTTGGAGCTCTTGTCAACTGCGTAAGCTACTATGGGGGCGCCCTTCCTGCTGGCATCTATCTCGCCTTTCATGGATGGGGGTTGGCCGGTCTCTGGGTAGGACAATGTGTGGCCTTGTCTCTCGTGGGCATCTTGGAGTGGATTATAGTGGGCTTGAGCAACTGGGACCACGAGGTGCAAAAGGCCGCTGGTCGATTGGGCGAGGATAACCAGGAGCACAATTTGCCTAGATAGTTGCCACAGATCTGGGAGAAAGTAAAATTTACACGTCAAGTTTCCGCTCTGTACTTGAACTCGTCTTGCCCATAGCCAGGAGCCTCCCCTACCAAATCAACCAATACCTTTCTTAAAACCAAGGTAGCGATTACAGACAAATCCAAATTGTGAATCAAGTCTTCAAGTATCTATTCTTCTTGCTATTGATAACTCGTAGTCAAACTGGCCAATCAGAGTACATGGCTTGAACGAGATAAGGTTTAGACACCAGGCAAGTGTCTCGCTGATAAGGCGCGTAAATTTCCGTTCATGGTAATTTTATGGCCCTCACGCCAAGCCGCCCGAGCCGGGAGTCGTGTGACGCTATTTGTGCGGCTGAAGATGGACAATTCTGCGGCTCTAGGCCCGATTTCAACCGATTGGTTTTTCAAAATGCGCGCGCGATCATCGGAGGTATGACAGCACAAATCAGCCGACTCGCCGTGGCCGGCCAGAGGAGAGACTGAACATGATAAGAAGTTGGCGTTTCAGGCCACTACCATAACCGCCGGAAAACGCTTCGACGATAAGGCAAACACCATCATCACACAGTGTTGTATATAACATCAAATACGAGTGTCAGTTTTAATACACCCAGCCATGGTTCTTTATAGTCATGAAAATCTTTTCGTTGAATCAGTCTATAATTGATGACTCAATTCCGTGAACTTGTTAAACCCTTGGCAACATGGTCATCTCCAAGACGATACAACACGGCAGCAACCACGAAAAGCCCGCCGTTGTTACTGATTCAGTAGGTTCGAATGCAGATGCATCACCGAGTCATGAAACAACCGAATTTGTCTTGAGCAAAGATGGCTTCAAGCTGTTTCCTCAGCCTATTCTTGGCGACCATCTCGACCCTTTAAACTGGTCATTCGCCCAGAAACACATCATCTTGGCCATCATCATGTCCATGTGCGTCTAATACACGGAGCTCTGGGCTTCCATCTTGTAATACACCTCGTGCTAACGTGTCCGCATTGTCAGCTACTTCATGTTTACGTTTATAACGACCACGACGGTGCCCTCCTTCCCGGAGCTCGAGGAAAACTACGCAGCCAGCCTGGAGCAGATGAATTGGACGGTTGCCATTCCTGCTCTCGGCCTCGCTGTCGGGCCTCTGCTGTGGGCTTCCCCGGCAGACATCATCGGACGTCGTCCCATCATCATCTTGGGCACGGCCATGGCCCTGGCTGCTACAGTAGGCGCTGCGCTTGCCCCAAACTACTCGGGCTACATGGCGGCGCGTTTCTTCCAGGGACTCGGCGTCAGTCCTGCCTCCAACGTCGGCCTGGCCGTTATAAACGATTTATTTTTCGAGCATGAGCGCGGCCAAAAGGTGGGACTCTGGGTCTTGGCCATCGATTTGGGTCTCTTGTTCGGCCCTCTTATAGGCGGAGCGGTAGATCTCGCCGGCTACGTTTGGATTCAGTGGTTGTCTGCCATACTATTTGGCGTGATGCTGCTTGCCGAGTTGCTTCTACTGCCCGAGACCTTGTACCCGCGGCACCTCATGTTATCTGAGCAACACCGTAGACGGCACCCATGTACCGATGCCGACAAGGCCGCACCCAGTTACCACGATGCTGAGCGCTTCAAGATACCAAGAACGAAGAAATTGGCATTTATGAATGTTGCTCCGGTTCCGGGTGTCCGGCATCCGAAACCATTCGACACTATTTGTAGGTTTATCAAGACTTTTAAGTATGCTGTAGTTCCTATTTCCATCATGACATACTGCTTTGGCTGGTACTGGTGGGTGTTGTCGGTGGTCACACTTGTTCCCACCGCATATGCGAAACATTCTCCGCAAATTCAGGGGTGAGCCTCACAAAGAATGTTCCGGCGTTAATTACAAAGTGCTCGCTAACTCGGTTGAAGCGTCCTCTATCTGGGACTCATCATTGGTACTCTAGTCTCTGAAGTCTGTTGCTCTGGCAGCCTGAGCGACTGCATCGTTCTTCACTTAAGCAAGCGCAACCACCACCAAAAGACTCCGGAAATGCGCATCTGGCTCGCCTATCCCGCTGCTGCTCTTACGGCAGTGGGATTGATTGTGTGGGGAGTCAGTGTGGACCGCGGTTACCACTGGATAGTCGGTCAAGTTGCTTTTGCCATCTGTAAGTCTTGCCTAGCACCACCCATTTTGGGCTTCGGCTAATCGTGGCCTGAAAGTTGGCGCTGGAATCCAGATGGGCAACACTGCTATATGCTCATATGTAGTGGATGCCTATCCTATGCAAAGCATGGCTATGATGACTTTCTATGCTGTCATGCTCAATTTATCTGCATTTATTGACCCATTTTTCGTCGTTCCGTGGGTCGAAAATGTGGGTTTTACTTGGACTATGGCAGGTCATGCCATTATCACTGTTTTCTTTTGTATCCCTGTTCTCGCATTGCTTCACAGATTCGGAAGAAGCTTGCGTGACAAATCGGGTCAGCCGACATGGGTGAATCCTGAGTTTGAGCGATGTGAAGGTGATGGTGCAAGTTGGTGTTAGTAGCCGAGCGTGAATCCCAGCATGATACTTGCAATAGGGGTACAGCAATCAAGACTTCCTACAGTATATACGTATATTGTCTCTTGGTCTGCTTAGTATTGACGCGTCAAATATTCTGGGCTACGAGGCATGTCTTATTCGGTATCCGAATAGGGTTGCACATGTTTTACATGGACATTCCACGTTACGGTCTATATGCTAGGCCAGCTTTCATTGGAAATCTCCTGAGCCTCTCCTTGTCGTGATCTGCTAGCTGGGGGAGCAAGCAGGTCAATTGGTCTGACAAGCGCGAAGCTTCTTGCTATATGCCTTATAAACTTTACATAGGCATGCTCTTGCCAAAGACGGGCGCCGCGTCTATGTCACTTTTCTTGGAGATGACAGTATTTGTTGCTGCTTAAATCTCTAACTAGCGTATGAGCAGCGTTGAAGTCTTCTTGTTCTAGCTTATCTCCTTCTTCGGGGGGTTAAAATGGCCCGTTTGGATGCCTTCTCGTCGGGGTTGGTTGCTTGAAGGGTGGCGGCGAGGTCATTTGACTTCCTACAGAGTCCAAGGCCGCTCGTGGTGCGGCTATCCTATTCATCCAGATGCAACTGTGCGCGCAACTGATCTTTCCCTAGATTTACGTAACTGCTAGGACAGAAGAAAACGTTGAGTTTTTTGTGAAAAAGGATTAAATTCCCCGTAAATACATTTTTCACTCGCGAAACGACTCTTTTCTCGACGATGTCATGGCAAAAGCCGGGGGCAGAGGCGTCGACCTTCCACTACCAGAGGATGAAATGGACATGCAGCACTTGAATCTATTGGCCTAGACTCGCTCGTGAGTATTGGGATCCGTAACTGGTGGCTGAGGATGCTCGGACCGGAGATAATAGCTTTAGCGATTGTGAAGGCGGGCAGTATTAAGGGGCTGGGTAAGCTGGTAATTGCAGATCTGAAGAAAAAGTACGACGAGGGGCCAGATCTTTCATCGGATATCGCGAACAATGCGTCTTTGGTGAACCACGTGAGATAATGCTAGTAATTATCTACCAGAGTTGTCTTGATTACAGTTCAAGTTGTGCTATGGTAGACTTGAGTTATTTCATCCTTAGTTGCTTCTATTAGCCTTGGTATTATAACCAAGTGTCACGGTGTTATCCGAGCAAACTCGACAATAATCGCTGCCCAGGTGCCGCTTTTAGCCGCCAAGACACGTGGGGCATTAATGCTGCACACCCCATAAACGGCCTAGTGTGGTTCGGTTCGGCCCGAAACACCAAGCCGTTTATAACCCTAGGGTTAAGCTCGAGATTGGACCCCCATTGCAGAACAACTATGCCAATGACAGGATCACGCCAGTCCATGATTCTTACCTTCATGAATGGAGTGGGTCAACTTCGAGATTGCCTGCTTCTCTATTGTCACGTCGCTATGGTTCTGCAGAGCGAGGACGTCTCTCGAACTGGCCAAGTCCCACAAGGTCAAGACCACGTTCAAGTCGAGAAACGGCGGGCATGTGATTAAGAACCTTGACGTCGATATACTTGGCCACCTCTTCCATAAGTCGGCGGCCATGGCATCGCAGAGCTTCAACTGCTGCCCTACCAACATGCTGGACATGCCCCCAGCCGAGAATGGGCAAGAGCTTGTTGTCAGGCTATGTGACAAGGGCCTAGGTTAGAGTAATTACTCAATTCATCTAATAACAGTCTTTGGTATCAAAGGTCCTTAGTTTTTCTTAAGGCCTTAGTGGTCAAAAACGTCTTTAAATACAAGAAGTTAGTGAGGACCTTTTGCCCTAATTCCGTGACCGTAGCCCTTGTGTGACCAGCCATTTCCGTGTAACACAAGCTTCCCCCTTCTTCTAGCTTGACCTCGAGCTAGTATTCGGGTTATGATGATGATGATGATAATGATATTTATGATGATAATGATGATCCGCAGGACCTAGTATCAGGTATAACTACCAGCGCGAAAATGCTCCTATGACCTCCGTAGGACCTAGTCAGAGGCAGGAATACCTGCTTGCTAGCGGAAAGAGGTCTAATACATCCTTGTGACCTAGCAGAGGCTGGTTGCTTGCTAGCTAAGGATAGAAGGATTTATACCTTTAAGGGAAAACTATTATTTGTGATAAGGGCCTAGCTTAGAGTAATTACTTAATTTATCTAATAATAGTTTTTAGTATTAAAGGTTCTTAGTTTTCTTTAAGGCTTTAGTAATTAAAAATATTTTTAAATATAAAAAGTTAGTAAGGACTTTCTGCCCTAATCCCGTGACCGTAGCCCTTGTGTAACCAGCTATTTCCGTGTAACAGGCTACTACTTCACGATATTAGTTTTTGCTACTAACTCTAAATATATTACTGAAAAAGCTATTATATAAATTTATAGCAAGATGTATAATAGATAGAAAATAAGTATAGGCGCTAAGGTTAAAAATAAAGATATATAGGATATACTTTTTAGTAAGGTTAAGCAATAGGATAATTTAGGGTTAAGCATGTAATTCTAGAGAATTCCTTGATTGCTAGATATGATGGGCGGCGGGGTCACAGCTCCTGTACTCGGCACCGACACCCCCCTTGGTTTCAATCTTTCCAATGTTCTTAAGCCAGGGAGATTTCTGGCCTATCTGGCATAAAAATACGGCAGTTCGAAACGTCGGCGGGTGCGTACTAACGAGCCCGACCCCCCTTACCCGCTTTACAGGACTGAGTTGGAAGCTGATACCTCGATAGGTATTTCTGATCGATATCTGTGTGTAAGTTGGCGGGGACGCAGTGCAGACCGTTTTTACTTGGTCAAATTTCACTTTCAGCCACGACCAACAACTTTCGGCCGTGAGCCTTCCCACACAGCGTTGATCATGTGCATAATTACGGGCTAGTGTTCGAGGTCCTTGGTCGTCGGCAGTTCCAGAAATCTTAGCACAGCATGACGCCCATCGCCGCTCTCCGGCACTGTTCATCTCTGTGTACGTTCCTTTCGACGCCTGCATCAAAGAGCAACTGCAATATGTCTAAACGACCGCGCTCCGCGGCATCTTCCAGAGCCGTCCTGCCATGAATATTAGCAGCTGGCGCATTGACGTCCGCACCATTGTCAAGAAGGAGCTGAACAGGTTCTGCATTTTGTTTCCTCACTGCATAAGCAAGAGGCGAATCGTAGAATGGCGTGTTTTTTCTGTCTGGAGTAGCACCCATGTTTAAAAGCAATGTAACAACCCCACAATCTTCAGCATACACTGCTTCGATGAACATCTTTCCGGCAAAAGCTGCAAATGTCGGTTCCGTGATGAAGAAGAAAAATTGGAGGAGCTTATCACTTATGCCGCATCACTTGTGCCCTGTTACTGCAGAGGGCACAACGTCGTAAGCACCAACGCATCATGGTGAATCTGAGGTGCCAGACTTGGCGCCGGGGAGATATTGTTGGATGCGGATCGGGTTTCGCAAGCATCGAGTTGTCGATTGATAGCCGGCGCCATTGGCAGGCATCGTTGCTAATACTGACCTGCGTGCATCGTCAGACTTCAAATATTGTGACTGACGGCTGCCCACTGGACCACTACTACATGTATGCAACTGGCCACATTCTCGTCACTTGGAAATACTACCATAATATGCCGGCAAGTGAGCAAACCCACCTCAACCTCACTCTAGTCAGTACCATTGGCTATTCCTGGCAGCATGGTTACTCTAGGCGTCGTGAGGTATCAATAATGCTGGCCTGCACATACAAGCAGCGTCAGTCCTCAGTCTCACGGCTATAAAGCTTCCCCGAGGCCCAGCGACATGCCATTGCGAATCTCAAACTCATCCTTATACCAAGACCGTGACTTTGTTTACTATTACTATCACCAAGTAACCACGTCAATTCCTGTCCGGCGCAATCGTTCAATTGATCATGATTTCCAACAAGATTCCCGCCTATCTCGCCTTTACTGCCCTCATAGCAGCCTCGCCCGTCGCCATCACAGATGGCGAGGGCTCAGTCTTTGCCCGTGGCAGTAGTGTTGACAACTGCGGCGCGTCGATCTTTGAGAACCGTTCCTCCAACGGTTCTCCCCTGGTCGCCGACAGCCGGCGCATGGCCACAAATATCGCCAACGGCGGCACTTGGACCGTTGCCAATCTCGGCCATCGTCAGCTTGTGCAGTACGGCACCTGTGCTTTTGGGGTCGAGGTGCTACGATCCTTCGGCACGCTTACAACACGTATCGGGAATCAGGAAATTATCGATCTCATAAACGAATCAATCAACAGGTTCCAATGGCAAGACAAGGTCGGCGCTGCCGGGAATATGATGTGCCAGACCGAGTCATCCACTCAGAACCGGGTTGCCTGGGGACTCTACCACACCTAAGTGGTTTATTGGTTTGATGGACAGCTGGTTCAGTTTTGGTCTTGTGTCAGACACGCCCGGAGAGGGTTGTAGGCTTAAGCCGCACTACTCGAGGCAATACGCAGCAATAAACTTCACAGTTGGTATTTCGTATGCCAGAGAGGGTGACTAGCCCAGAACCCGGGAGTCAAGACCATGTCGCTCATTCACATAGAAAATCAAAGCTGTGGAGATCTTCTGCTGACAAACGGCAGTCACTTCCTATGCAAGAAATTATCTATTCACTCTCTTAAATAGGAAGTAAAGAGCCTCTGATGTTGTCCAAAGAATCATGGTATCACATGAAGCATGAGGAGATCCAAGTGCCTATCCTGTTTCACCTAGATAACCTTGTACAAAAGTCCCAGAATCTTCACGATAAGCTCCGCATATGTATAGTTACAGGTCGCAATGTTTAGCCGCGCTTCGCCGACTTGAAAGTCATTTGCTAGAACGTGGGACTAACAAACGACATCCTAGCTAGCTCTAGATGACTTGAACTGCCGAATGTGAGGTTCCAGCCTCTATTGTATCACTGCCAGCATGTACATAACATGGCTTGTTCTGTCAGATTCTGATTCCACTTTCCTTTACGCACCAGGAATGCTAGGGAATCTTCCCAATATCAAAGGGTCTTATTTGGGTACCAAGGCATATTTTCCGGGCCTGTGAAAGTTGTGCCGAGTTAGGTATTCAGTTTTGCTGCTCCTACATAAAGGACTTGTTTCGGCATCACATTGATACCAACCAATGTCTCAGCCATGAGTAGACAGCAGTCTCTCTCTAAATGATATATCGGGAAGTGGCGCTCAATGAATCTGCACCAAGGACTCAATCGCGGAGGGCAAAACAGTTGACTCAGGCGCATGGCATTATCTGAGGTCGGGACGTGTTATATAGCAAGATTATTTAGGATAGCTTAAACAAAGTAAGGGACTCTTAATTTCTGATTTTAAAGAGCGGAATAATATAAAATTAAATACGTATTAAAGTATTATTATATAAGTAATAATATTATAATTTTCTATT